GATTTACTGTAGAGATGAGGTCTCGCCAAGTTGCCCAGGCAGGTCTCGAACCCGCGGGCTCAGGCAATCCGCTCACCTCAGCCTCCCAAGGCACAGGATTACAGGCTGGGTCACCGAGCCTCTCTTTTTTTCTTTTTTCTTTTTTCTTTTTTTTTTTTTTTTTTATGTGCCTGTAGTTCTGGCTACTTGGAAGGCTGAGGCGGAAGCTCATCTTAAATAAACTATAACAATCTGTGAAGGCGTGCCTTTGTCATCCTAGGTACTTGGGAGGCTGAGGTGGGAGGATTTCTTGAGCGCAGTAGCACCACTGCACTCCAGCCTGGGTGACAGAGCAAGACCCTGTCTCTAAAAAAAATATTTAAAGTAAACTATAGGGATCTGTAACTATGAATCATGGGCTGAGCAACAGAATTGAAGCAATTCTTTTTTTGAGTTAGAATCTCACTCTTGTCACCCAGGCTGGAATGCAGCGGCTCACTCATGGCCACCACAGCCTAGACTTCTGGGCTCAGGCAATCCTTCCGCCTTAGCCTCCCAAGTAGCTGGAACTACAGGCACGTGCCACCACACCCAGCTAATTGTTTTATTTATTGTAGAGACGAGAGTTTGCCAAGTTGCCCGGGCTGGTCTTGAACCCATGAGCTCAGGCAGTCCTCTCGCCTCAGCCTCCCAAAGTGCTGGGATTACAGGTGTGAGCCACTGGGACTAGTTTGCAATTCATTATTTCATCAGAGGAAGTTGATCAGGAAGATAAAGATAACGGCATTCCAAATTATTTTACAGTTTAATTTTTGGTGTGCCAGACTCTAAATAAATTATTGGAAAATATGCCAGAAAGTGCCCAGGTTAAGAATGTTTTGTGTGTCAAAGTAATGAAGCCATACTCACTAGACTAAGAGAAAACTCCAAATGTGAGAATATGATTCTTTCAGGACTTAAGATCTGTGAATTGCCAGGTGCGGTGGCTCACGCCAATAATCCCAGCACTTTGGGAGGCTGAGTTGAGAGGATTGCCTGAGCCCATAGATTCGAGACCAGCCTGGGCAACTTGGCAAGACCTCATCTTTACAATAAATCAAGAAATTAGCCAGGCATGGTGGCGCATGCCTGTAGTCCCATCTACTTGGAAGCCTGAGGCAGAAGATCGTCTGAGCTCAGTAGGTCGAGACTGTGGTGGCCAGGAGTGTGCCACTGCCTTCCAGCCTGGGTGACAGAATGAGACTCTAACTCAAAAAAAAAAATCTATGAGTAATGACAGTCCCATACTTAAACAATGTGGCTTGGATTAAGTAAAATGCACTATTTAAAGTCAATACTGTTTTTGATAATGTCAGTATTTTATGTCCCAGAACCAGCAATTAAACATTCTTTTGTTTAATCATTCTTTATTCTTTTTATTTAAAAAAATCAAGTACCAACTGTACTCAGCTGATTAAAATGTTACAACCATTACAAATTTAGAACTATCACAGTAGATAATGTTTTCTCAAAAATGAACATTTGTTACTGGGAAATGTTAGGGTGGCTTTGGCTGAACTGACAAGAATAGTGGTACAAAAAGAGGATGGTGGGGAAGGTGGAGGCCAGGTGACATAGGAACTTACAATCTGCCATAAGTTTGTGTTTTATTTTAACCACAATGGAAAGCTTGGTTTTTTTGTTCGTTTGTTTTCAGTCAGGGTCTCACTCTGTCACCCAGGTTAAAGTGCAATAGCACAGATCTCAGCTCACTGCAGCCTTGATTTCCTGGGTTCAGGCAGCCCTTCCACCTCCGTCTCCCAAGTAGCTGGAACTTAAGGCACACATCACCACATCTGACTACTTTTTTGTTTTTTGTAGAGACGAAGTCTTGCTATGTTGCCCAGGCTGGTCTCCAACTCCTGGGCTCAAGCAATAATCCTCTTGCCTCAGCATCCCAAAGTGCTGAGATTACAGGTATGAGCCACCTTGCCCGGCCCATTGAATGTTTTAAGCAGGAGAATAATGATCTGATGTAAGTTTTAAAAAATTTTATTTGGCAGCTCTGTGGAGAATGGATCTTAAGAAACAAGGATAGAAGCAATTGACAAGAAACTGTTGTGTCCGAGTAAGAGGTGAAGGTGGCTTTGAAAAGGGAGGTGATAAAAGCTGAGAGAACCAACAGGTTGACTGATAGATTTGGGCAGGAGTGATGAGGGAGGGAAAAGGAATCCAGAATTTCTCTGGCCACTAGCCTCCCAGTCACAAACACACTTTCTCAACTGCCCACCCCACCCTGTATGCAAATTCATTACATCATGCCCCAGTTCGATTCAGTGAAACTGAAACCCATCAATGGCACGTGTGGCTCTTCCTCTCACTGCAGCCTCATCTGTCCTGTCTCTTCCTAACCCGCGCTGCCTGTAATGGCCTAACTTCTCTTTTTTTTTTTTCTTAATAGAGACAAGGTCTCACTATGTTAGCCAGGTTGGTCTTGGACTCCTGGGCTCCAGCGATTCTCTCACCTCGGCCTTAAAAGTGCTGGGATTATCCAGGCATGGTAGCATGCGCCTGTAGTTTCAGTTACTTGGAAAGGTGAGGTGGAAGGATTGCCTGAGCCTAGCAGGTTGAGGCTGCGGTGGCTGAGAGCATGCCACTGCACTCCAGCCTGGGCGACAGAGCGAGACTCTGACACACACACACACACACACACACACACACACACACACACACACACATAAAGTGCTGGGATTACAAGCGTGAGCCATTGAGCACAGCCTGGATATTTTTACATACAACTATAAGGTCACTATCACACCAAGAAAATGAAGAATAAATCACTGCTGCATATCTTCTAATGACTAGTTCATAATCAAATTTTCACAATTGGCTCAAAAAAATGGTTCTAACACTTTGTTTGCAAAACAGAATTTTAAAGCCATTGGAGTGAGGGAAACTTTAAAAGAAGAATCTGATTATCCAAAAATCTGGCTTCAACACAAAACCTCCAAGTTTATATCCTAATAGACTCTAGAAGAAAATAGGATGATGTAAAACCTTGCTTGTTTGTTTGCTTCTTTCACCAAAAACAAGATAAAGTTCAATGGACTATAGGAGAATTTTCAGGAATGACAGGGAGGAGGATTTACACAGCAAATCCCTTAAGTGGTCTTCCACAATGTGTGGGAGGAGTAAACGAATAAAGGTGACTGAAGTGGCTTTGTTACAGGCCCAAGA